TATTATATTCTTATATATTTTTATTATATTGCTGCATTTGCTGCTTAAAGTGCCTTAGATTTTGTGTTACTTATTTATCTACTTTATATTTCACTTGTATTTTGTGGCATTCATGGGGACGGCAAAGTAAGAATTTCATTGTACAGGGAAACACATTTCCTAACTGTGCATATGACAAAATAAACACTTTGACTTGACATACTGTTTCCTACCAACAATGTAAATTATAGATGCTTGGTTGCGACAAACCGTACAAAATGCAGCCTCCAGTCTGAAGCTACCGTTAGCTGAATAATGTGTAAATTTGCCAATCCAATAGAACACTTTTAACATTAAAATCCTGATTAAAAAAACATTTTAGGATCAAGCCCTTAAGTAGTTTCCGACACCAGCTAACACAGATTGTGAGGATCAGAGCGATTGCCCTCCCCTTCTACGTAAATCAGGAACAGGTCACTGACCTCTGCCGATGAATATTTGGATGGATGACCTGCATGTGGAGCAAGTGCTAACAACACAGGAAGGAATAGGGTTGCTTGGCCCCTGACCTTCACCATCCTTACAACCATAAAGTCAGATGCATCTGAATATTACATCAGCCTCCCCCACTGGAACTACCCCCACAATCAGCAGAGGTACACAAACAGAAATGGTGTCACATCATGGTGTCTGGTTTGCCTCTCTGAGCATCCTGTACAAAAATAAGCACAGCGTTCTGACCATGGCAGCTGCAGGTCCCCGTATCTTAAATTATATTTTGACAGGTTCTTACCTTACCTTATGTTATCCTGTAACTTATTTTAGCTGCAGTGCAGGCTCGACAGAAATTTTTGAGACTGCCCCTTTTCCCTATAAATTGATCCTATATGATCTATGTGCAAGCAGCTTATTACGACACAGTTACGCTTTATTACAAGGCGACCTCTAGTGGCCATAGTAATTATGGTGGGAGCAAAGCAGAAAGTTAGGTGACTAAGGTCACATGGGAGTCTACTATTCTTTCCCCATTTCAAACCAAACCTTCACATAATTTCAACCACATTTATTGTTGTAACCATGACAACGAGGAGCTGGTATACTTGCTGACATACATCCTCATGCAACCAGAAAAAAATTTAATTGCTCTAAATTCAAAACCAACATTTCATGAAAACAAATTATTTTCAATAATACATAGCATCAAACAATTTTAAGATTATAGTGAACCTCCAGTGATCACATCATATTCATTATTAATGACCACAGTATTTCAGGCAATGGCCATGGTGTGCATACGAATACCACTGATATCTGCAGAAAATAAAGAAATAATAAAAATTGAATAAATAATAATAAATAACTTTGAAAATAAAACAATAAAAAGAACAAAGCCAACAGGGCAGGCTTGTGATCAGTCTGGCTGGGCCTGATCCTGTTAAGGCTCACCCTTGGAGGTGCATCTGGTTGTATCAGAGGGTAAAGGACAAGTCACCTATATGGCTGTTTAGGTTGAAGGTCTTCTTGGTAATTTCTCAGTACCATGTAAGTGAACAGTAGCTTGATCTGTTTACGCTGTGAAAATGAACAGGAATGCATGAAACAGTTTAAAATCCCCTGTGATTCCTAGAAAGGCAGGCTGTCTCTCTTTTGTTTTCATCTGTTTTACATACAAGAACGGCTCCACGGTTCGCACTGAGATAATTAAAATTTCATAGAGTGCTTGACATTTGATAATAGCGTTGTGTGTTTATAAATTCTAGACTTCCCTACAGAAGGTTTCCTATCATGTTTGTTCAGGTTTTTGCCCACCCCACCCCCAAACAAGCAATTGAATACCTAAAAACTCAAATATCTCTGTGCAGCGTCAAAAAGACAAACCCAATTACAGTTTTAGTTGTGCATGAGCATATACATATTAATCAGCTTTCAATGTATATTTGTATTTACTTAAAACTTTTTGAACAGGAGCAATGAAAACAGAAAAAAGTGCTTGTGTAACAAGTGTGTCATCATGTATTATGATGGAAGAATTGCTGTCTGATTGCCACATAATGACTGAACTCATCTGTTGACATAGATTCATAATTTATTTTAGCTTTGTGTCTTTATGTGTATGTACCGCTGTGCTGTCACAGGAGCACTGATTTATTATGACTTGACTGAGCTTTACTACTGTAGGTTGAATTAAGGGTTGAGGGTTAGTGCAGGAGGGCATATACACAGTAGAAATCTGGCAATACATTGAAAAAACGGGGGTGGGGGGTGTGTATGTGTGTTGGTGGGATGGGCATCCTGTATCCTGTATAGCCCAGGCACTTAACAAGATGTGTTTCATTTCAGTGCCACCTTGACTTTACAGATGGAGGAGGTGCACATGCTACCACCCTCTACTGGACCAGAGAGTGAAAGCAAATTAATCACTGTTGTAGAATAACAGTGTTCTAAAATAAATGAAACATAAAACGCTGAAATCTTTAAAAATTTCTAAGTTTTAATAGCAATAAGCTCACATGTTTTTAAACCACGTTAACAAGGAGTTGGTTTGGTTTTGGACAACGTGGAACCAATGTTTTCGCTTGTCCGAGTTCCCTTCCGGTTGTTTTTTGTTGTCCCACCAGAAGCAGAGTGGGGGTTTTCGTTTCTGATCGTTTAGTAGTTTTTTTCCCCTTCAATTATAGCATTGGATTTACGGTATAAATACCGAAATAAACGTAAAAGTAGCAGCTAATGCTTTAATTTAGTTGTAGCTAACTTGTTTTTAAAGTGTCGGTTTCCTGGACTCGCCGAATGGGTAAATATTGTCTTACAAATCAACTCACGTTACACTTGTTAACTAACCTATGTGTCCCATTGTGTTATAGTCACATACATATAGACTGTTTGTACGTATATTATGCTCCTTGTGATATCTGAAATATTAGAACTGGCTGTTGACATGTAACGTTTCTGTTCACAAACATATGAACCTATTGGGCCATATATAAAGTCAAAGTGTTTATTGTCATATGCACAGCACGGAAACGCGTTTCCCTGTACAATAAAATTCTTACTTTGCCGTCCACATGAATGCCACACAATGCAAGTGAAATATAAAGTAGATAAGTAACACAAAACCTAAGACACTTTAAAGCAGCAAATGAAAGAGATATAATAACTGCAATTCTCCAAACATCCCAAAAGTATTATTATGTTTGAATAAAGTCAAAAGCTGCATGAATGTTTCCAGGTGACTGTGCAGAATAGTCACTTCAGAGTCACATTTTGTGATTTCCTCAGTCATGTTGGATACTTTAGTACAGCTGTTCAATTTGGTTCTGCTCAAAGTTGTGAGGCCTGTGTTTCTGTACTCAGATGAATCAGGTGCTTCAAAGTTGGCTGTCTCATACTTTGGCATCATCTTTCCAGGTACACAGTGTCCAAACGTAGATGCAATCACATGGAGGCAGAGTTGGCTGTTTCAGCAGCCATGTGTCATCATTGTGCATGTGTCACACTTGCAGTTCTGGCTCAGGATGCCCTCACCTGCATTTTGTAGTTGCCAATTTGGAAATAAGGGCCATACATTTGCTTCACTGCAGCAAAAAGGCTGTCGGTGATGGAAAAAGCAAGTGTCCTGTTTATGTGTGTAATGATGGGCAAATTGTGACATTGGTGGACCTTTTAGTTGAGCACAAAATTATAGATTAAATTACAGCCTTTGGTTCTAAAAATTGCAGTGAATTTTACAGCCAGACCAGCTCTAAACATATAAAAGCTTATATGAGCTTAAAATGAGAAGTAGCCTACTTCATCATCAGTTTCAACCAGAACAAGTGCTGTTCTGACTCACCTTTCCTGTCTATCCTCAGCATAAATAAGGATCTTTTCATCAATGGCTATGCTGTGGTCAAAAATCTCTGCTCTTCTGCCTCTGAATGAGGAACAGTTTCCACTGCAGTTCAGTGACAAAGTGGAGTCGAGTGTTGTGGACATACTGAAACGGTCCAGGCGACAGCTGTACAGCAACGCTACGAGTAACAGCTGTATGCTTAATGCTCAGATCATTCTGGATATTTCGTGGGAGAAGCTAAACACAGGAACATGGCGTCATGTGGACAAAGAGTGGAGACGTGTCTATTCCTATGGCTGTCTGTTCAAAGTGGCTGCACTGTGTCATGAGGATCCATCGAGAGATAAGATCCTGCAGGCTGTAAGGACTTGTGACATGGGTTTAATCATGGGTGCCGCCATCATGGATAATATACTTCAAGCTGTTGTTCGGATTCTGCAGGCGGAAGTCAGGAAATCTTCAAAAGAAGATGAAACTGCTGCTTGTGCTGAAGTCAAGGTCAGTGGTGTTTTTTGTTGAAATCACTGTATGTGAATAAGATATCTCACGTTTGAGTCATCTCAATAGTGCCAGTAGTAATAGAGTAAACAGATTTGAAATAGGTACGCAGTAGTAACGTGTTGAAGAATTGTTTAGGTGCAAGATCAATTACTAAAATACATTTTTAAACTATTAAAGTTAGGAGAAAAAAAACTTCATTATCATCTAACAAGATGTCCATTGCTTTTCTGCTTTAGGTGACCACTAAGTTCAACTAACATCTAAAGTGTGCTCACTTATTTATTGAAAGCTCCATAGAAAGGGAGTTTGCCCATAGCAGCTTTATGTGGTGCAGCCAAGAAATTCTTTTCTGTTAAATTCTCTTTGCAAGTCACAACAGACAGTGATTGATGAGGACATTTCAAAATAAGCCTTTCAGACTTCTTAGTGTTGTATTTTCCTTGTTGCCCTTCATCCTGTTGCACTCCATCAGATGTCACTGAAGATAAAGTGGCACAAACACTTAAATGTTAGATCACTTTGTTTAGATGTTACACAACTGAGATGAAGAGTTTAGGAAAGGGTTAGCAGGATTTTTACAAGTTGCCTTTGCCTTTAAAGAAATACCCCAGCCTTAAAAAAGAAGTCTGGAGCATATTTGTATGCTTTGAGTATCCATGTGTAATTGCACAGTGGAGCAGTGCTGCAACTGCTGTCTATTTTCATTATATTTTAACCTGCCAGTTATTTTCTTGATTAGGAAAGAATGAGAAATATCCATTGCAGTTTCTTAAAGGCCACAGTGACATCTTCAAATTGCTTGTGTTGCTCCACCAAGAGCCCAGAATCTAACAATGTTATGTTTAATATCACACAAGACAAAGGCAGTCAGCACAACATTTGTGACTTAAATGATTAATTTGTTATCAAAATTGCCGCCAATTTTCTGCCAACCAACTGATCAGTTAATTGGCAACTCATTTAATCAATTATTTATTTTTCTTGTTATTTTGCTCTTTATTTTGCAATTGAATGGAAAAAAATCTACTGATCTTGGTTGTTTTGGCATCATCAACAGAGAATAAAGACTGAGAGTCCATGTGTTCTTGTGGTCAGAGAAGAGTTGGCGGTTCCCAGGATCAAGTGTCCGTCGCTACAGAGCTTCAACATAAACTACCTGCTCCCCCTCCGACCAGTGATTTTAGAGGGGATCATTGACCACTGGCCCGCCCTCAATGAACACCCCTGGAGGTTTGAATTAACAACTTGTTTTCTTGTTCAGTTTCAGATTGCTGTTTGTATGACATGCCTTGGTATCACCCATCAATATTGTTTTGCATATTTGTATCCAAATGACAACAGGGTGTCACTTGTCACTTGCCTATTATGACTCTATTTATCAATTTTAGTGTGTTAAACTCATTTAATCAGACTTTCTACACAACACCTGTCAGAAAATTACACATTATCTTAAATGAGAGTAACAGTGTCTAAATTTTAATGCAGAGACCCACTTCAGATTGTAAATTAGGTTTTGATTGTGGTTAAACCCTACAGCCCTACTTGTGTTAGGTCTAGCCATGTAATCAGCCTGACTAACACTTGTGATGCCAGCTGAGTGCACTTGTCCGGCTGAGAGGACATAAAACTTGTCGGACTGTGGTCCTGAAGGACCGCTGGCATGTGACATACAGTTCATCAGTTTGATAAGAGACACCGAGATGTACTGTACAGTGTACGTTTCATTCTGAATATTTGGAACTGCATAAACTGAGCTTGGGTTGGTTTACTCATTACTACATCGCTGAGACCGGAGTCTGCTATAACTGCCTCCTCATTTAAGAATATCCTTCACTGCTGACTCCTAACAGCTGGCATACAGCTTGCAACTCTGACGGTGAAGGAGAACATCCACACATGCACACATGACACATTTTTGTGCTGGAATCCACAGTGAACGGATTTTTAAAAAAAATAATTCTGCAGTGGTATTATAGTAATGTTTAATTCATTCATTTTCTACCTCCTGCAAAGCATAGAATACCTCAGGCATGTGGCTGGTTGTCGTACGGTTCCTGTCGAGGTGGGATCCAGGTACACTGATGAGGAATGGTCACAAACACTGACGACGGTCAATGAATTCATCGACCAGTATGTTTTGAATAAAGTAAGTGCATCCTCATCATGTCTTGCTGTTGCATTGTTAACATTAACAATGAAATATAAATGTCGTCTCCATTTCTAACAGTATTTTTATTTATTTTTCTCTGTAGGCCAAAACCACCCAGAGTGGAGTGAAAGGCCTGGGTTATCTGGCTCAACACCAGCTTTTTGATCAGGTATGGTTGTACTTTGAAATAACAAAATGATTATGAAAATAGTAATCTCTTAATTTTGTCAGTTCACTAGTTGATGATTTAGATGATCTTTTCATCATTACAGCACTTCTAGTGGTCATCCCCACGGCACGTATCTTTGATGGGAATTGACTTTTTAGACCTAATTTAACTGTAGAAGCCAATACATTGTCTGGGTTGAACTTTACAAAAAGGGCACCTCATCAAGATAAAAGTTGGGTATTTTGAGCTGTTTGATAGAATGAGATGAAATGAGGAGTCATCACACATCCAGATTTTTCACACTACATCTTTGTCTTTCAGGGATGAGCTGTGATCAGCTGTCTTTTAGTGTAAAAACAAACAGATTCCTCTAGATTTTCCTCTGACTGATGTACATGGCTAAATTATAATAAGAATATTTTTTTATTGTCATATCCCAACAGTAACTGCACCACCACACTGGGGATTATCATTAACCAAAAGTCATGGTAATGCATCCCATAGTTACTGAGATGCCTCAGTGTGGGGTGGACAGTCTGACAGGCCAACATTGCTGTCCCTAGAGCCAAGCATAACTAACAGTGCTCATACAGTAATACCATGTGCAAACAGAGTAAAGAAAAATATATTAATATTACTCTGGGAAATGTCTGCAGATGTTGTGTTAAGAAACTACAAGCTACTATTTAGCTAGTGAAATGAATCTTAAATGCCCCCTTGATGTACTTTAACTTTTTTTGTTTAATGTTGCCTTAGATACCAGAGCTGAAGGAAGACATCCGCCTCCCTGATTATTGCTGTCTTGGTGAGGGAGAGGAAGACAATATTACTGTAAATGCGTGGTTTGGGCCTGGAGGTACAGTGTCTCCTCTTCACCAAGACCCTCAACAGAACTTCCTGGCTCAGGTGACAGTGAAAATGCTGCTTTACGAATTGAGTTATGTCAAAGATCTGTCACATGATCTTCTTTTTTACATATGGGATTTCCTCAGGTTGTGGGAAGAAAATACATTCGCCTGTATTCCCCAAAGGACACAGACAAGCTGTACCCCCATCAGTCACAGCTGCTCCATAATACCAGTCAGGTGGGATTGACAGCCCATAAAGTTGAACTTCCAAATATATGCAGTATTTCCAATTTCTGACTCCTTCTGTGCAGGTGGAGGTGGAGAATCCAGACACAGAGAAGTTCCCAGAGTTTGTCAAGGTTCAGTATCTTGAATGTGTGTTACAGCCTGGAGACGTGCTGTTCATTCCTGCCCAACACTGGCATTATGTACGATCCCTGGAACTCAGCTTCTCTGTCAGCTTCTGGTGGTCATGATTGGAGATCCTTAATAAAAAAAACTATTATTTTTGTTGTTAAATTTGAGCTGAGTTTGTTTTCTCCTGCTGTGGAGGGAAATCAGATCCATAACTAATGCTAGGCTAATTCTCATAAATGTTAGGACAACCACTGATCACACAAGCCTTTTGAGCTATGAACACACACAGCTGAATGATTAGTTGAATTGTAACAACATCTATTGTGTGGGAAGCTAGGAGCAAAAAACTAAACAAAATAAAAACAAAATAGCAACAACAAATGAGCAGTTAAACTGTTCAACCTGCATGTAATTTGTTATTAGTCATCTCATTTGATAGGATATGTTTCTCTTTTCAAACTGACTTATTTAATTGTTGTCAACCGTATTGCTACAGATATCCTCAGATGTGTGATTTCCATAATTCATGGAAATGAATTCTCAAATTTAATAACTGAGCGAGCTACAGGTACGAAAATGTGCTAATAAACAGTTCTCTGGTTAAACTGACAGACTGAGAAAATCAAGCAGGTCACAGATGAAAATTAATAAATTAACGGAATTGATCCCCTGGGCACAGACAGACTTTGAAATTGAAACAGTCTTGATGGTTAAGTACCATGACAGTACAACTCTTGTCTAATACCAAAAACACAACACCTGACTGCAAAGACTGCAGCGCTTCCTTTCAGCTTTTCAGTCCTCTGACAAGCCCCAGTCATGTATCCCCTAGGTCCATTTCAATCAAGCCTGTTAATTAGATCCATGAAGTATGTGAGGATATGGCAGTAATAAGTAGACGAAGCACTGGTGTACATATCTGATCTGCATTTCAACCTTATTCACTGTCAGCTAAAGTAGTGTTTTGGGAAATTAAGGCTGTAGAAAACAGTATTTCTGAGGAGGTCCTGAAGAGTTGTGTGGGAATATTAAAACAATAGTCCAACAAAGGGTATTAAAACTGCTGCTTTTCCTGATTTAGAAAAGATGAATGAATGCAAAAAAAAAAAAAAAAAAA